AACATGACAAAGAGCATACCAGGGCATATGTGATCTGTCGATTAAATGTTGAAATAAGCTAAACGTTCACTTGCATTTGCAATCAATTTTTAGATGCTAACTCTATTTACATGTGATAATGATTCATTTCATTGCTCATTTGTTTGATTGTATGTATGTTGTTTAACTCCCTCTTGAGAAAAACAACAATTTTTTCACTCATACGGAGACGCCTAGATAATGGAAAAGCTTAATGTATAAGTCATCCGGTTTTTCACAAAGTTTTGTTGTTTTGTTACCATCAAAATGTATTTATAGGTCGTTCTAATACCTTATAAAACTGAAGAAATAATGTTTCTATTGTTTTATTTACATGATTAGAATAAAAAAAAATATAAATGACAAAAGCAATTTATCTGAAGCAGCGTTTATATCTTCAAAATATCATATACAATGTGAATAGTATCAAGATGAAAAAAACAAGATGGCATATTGTTTATGTCGGTAATTCTACATAACAATGATTGAAATGTGTATTCAAAAAAAATTGAACAAGTAGTTGATATGCTTCACAATGAATAATGAACGTAAACCAAATCAGTGAGTTACTTCCTTCCTCGCATCTGAAAAAGAAAAGAAAACATTTTCAAACTCTTTTTATATCTTCAGCTAAATGATTTTTGACATAAAAGGTTTTATATTTTAAATAAATTAACTTAAATCAAATGTTCTCCATAAAAAATTAAATATAGTGTTACAGCTTTCCAGTTCAAAATTTAAATATTTGTTAGAATAGGATGTAAAATACATAAAAGTCTATCAATTAAGTCAATTAAATCCAGATTAAGAAAATTATTAGCATCCACAGAAAAGATATAAAATAGCTATTAAAGGTGTATGTTATTATTTCTAATTTTTTACTTTAAAAATCTACTAGATTATTCCGTCATTGACTTCTTGTAACTATAATGATGATTTGTCAGTGAAGTAATTCAAAACTGAGAGAAATTTAACATTTTAATTGGATGTTAAGCATGCATTATTAATCAAGAATTCAATGAACTATAAATGTTATGTCATTAAAATTATTAAACGGGGATGAAGAGATTAATTTTCCAACTAATCAGTTATTCATTTTGACCATTTTAGTTAATATGAAAAAGAGCAAAAGCTCAGGAATAGGAAAATATGAACATTTTAAAAAGTTCAAAATCGATTACAAGTGCAATTTTGAAAAATCGCTTAAGGTTTACCCCGTTCCAACTCTTTATATAGATAACTATGCAAGTAATAAGCCATTACAAAACATATAGAGAATAATACATTGTACAAGATCTGTATCACATCCCATATCAAGCTGAGAATTTTGTATCAGTCCGAGGGCCGATGTTAACCAAAGTTACACATCTGATAATTATTCGTGTATTTGAAATGGCTCTATTTTTGACATTATGAACAGATCATGCAGAATACTTACAAGGAACCTTGTCTTTAGGGGTAAACTTCTCTTTCTACCATTAAAACAACCTCCAAAATTACAGAAAAGCTTTTTGGTTCTAAATCTGAATGGCCGTTTACGTCGCCCGCAACCCCGATATGGACATATACCCCGTTTTTCATAAGATGGGCCCTGACTCTCGGGGACCTGTAGAGGAATATATCCTGATTCAAGCCCCGTCTCCTCATCATCATTGGTCAGATCTTCATTTGGAACGAGTTCTAATTTGCCTTCCAATAACTACAAAACAATTTGAAAATAAAAATTCTGGTGTTTTTGTAGTAATGATTTTACAAAGGTTGGTGAATCGATGGATGATATCACTAGATAACGATTCCGATTCTTTTTTAAATCCAATTATTGATGTACGTAATTGTGTGTCTATGAAACCTTTCAGAAGTTGAAATGTGGTGTTAAAAAAAGACATCTTTTCTTTTGAAAGACAGAAATCAGTCATTTTTCATTGTTTTGTAGCGTTCCTTTTTTGTCTTGCTTTACGATCAGAAAACAATAGAGAAAGTTGAGAAACCCAGGAGTATTGAATTTGATTTTATTCTTTTTTTTTCTTTCGGGTTAACGCTTTGTCATTTTGATTCTTTTCATAATTGTCAAAAATCTGTCAATATCGGAATATATTGAAAATTCAGTACTTTGATTTTGCGAAGATTTATTTTTACAATAAATAGAACTATATAAAGTAAAACCCTTTGATACACAGACAATAGGGAGAAAAACTTAGAATAACATAATAAAGCTACAATCAGATAAAAGTATTTTAAACGTCATTCCAATTGAAACAGACAACCACCACTTGCAGTTGAAGGGCTGCAAATTTTGACATACTTGTTACTCAGGATTTTAATTAGAAAATATTATTAGATACTAAGTCATAATTTGAAATAAAATACGAAAATGATTGGTCGCTTTGGGGGCCACAAGGGAGTATTTGATAACTAGGGAACATAAATGACAGACTTCTGAATACTTAATAATTATTGTACTAGTTGCAGAGAATTTTATACAATTGGCAAGCCTGTAAAATCTACAATTGATGAGTCTTCCCTCTGAGCATTTCTAACCATTCAAAAATTCAATTTTTAACTTAAGCAAAAATTTTAGAAACGGAGGCAAAATATTTGACATATTAAAATGTTATTTTCTATATTATATTACCTTTTTGTGATACATACAAATCTTGAAAAAATAATAAAACTGACACCAGATTTGGAGTGAAAGAGAATTCCTCCCTTGTGAATGGTTACTTTATGACTTTTAATGGTTCTCTCATAAAGTGTTAATATAAAGACTTTTCGCATGAACATGTTTTCATCACATCTCAAGTAACATCCTCGTTAAGTAATAAAACTTTGAATTGGTATTCGGTTTTCACATATGTATTTAGAAGAATAAAAATAAATTCTATTAGGATATATTTTGCACAAATACATGAATGGCAATAAAAGCCAAAAGGAGAAAGCAATATAATTGATAATCGTGAATCAAAGAAGAGACACCGATTTTGAAATAGCTCAATATATCATGTAATATTTAATCAATGAAATTTTATTGTTCACCCTGTTCCACATCTATGTTTCCTACTTTTAAATTAATTACTTTTTTTTAAATTACCGATTATTTTTAAATTACAATGAAGTTTGATAAATCTTTCTCTTATTTTAACTTGTGTAAGCCATCGTGCAAGAAAAAATCACAACTTTTTAATACTTATAATTATTACCTGTCTAAGTAGGTCGACATTTGGTTGGGACGGTTCCTGGCAATAAGTATAAGCTGCTAGAGAAAGAACAATGAATAATGCACTCAAAATGGCTCCATTCGACTGCATCATCTTCTCAGAGAAAAGGCACTCAACAATTTTGTCCGAAAATTGAGAACAGTTCCTATTTTATAATGCCTTGTTGCTAGTTTTGCAGAATTAATGATCACATGATCAGCCCCCAAATCTACGTAGCAATCAATCAAAATCTATTAATTATTTATGACTTATTACATTTCATTTATTGATATTTCTAGTAAAACGTTAACAATGAATTGTATATAGTTCCTGCTCTTTTTAACAATGACATATGACTCTTTTGATTGGTCAGTGAAATAAAAAAGAAATATTCGTCAGCTTCAATGACATACAATGAACAAAAAAAAAAACAAACGTTTTATCAAGCACTGTTGCAATTTTCAAAAAACGTCATCGGGTGTGTAGACAGGGATTCATTGTTTGTTTTTTGGCGCCTACTTAAAGACTTGAATTTGGACAATGACATCACCAATCATACGATGATTAATTCTTCATTTGCCAGTATCTGGGGATAAATACAAACATGTATGAGAATTAACAGACTCTTTATTAAATTCAAATGTATTAAATTTTGTTAAAATTTTAATCCTCCCAAATAAATTTAGATTTGATTTAAGCAGGAAACACAAGCCACGAAACAGTATTATGTAACACCATCATGACGTCATAATAGGTGTAGTGTAAACATAGTCTGCAGTCAGATCAACATTCCCACGCTGGCTGCAATGAATGAATGAAAGCTGATTGATACACATGATATGTGATCTGGGTGCAGTATGGGAGTTGTGGAGTGTGAGAACCTATAGAGAGCGCACACAGTTTATATCTTGTAACTCATGTAGCTGAATGTAGTTTGTAGCAGAATAAATATATGTAAATAACGAACCCTGTGTTAGATTATAATCCAACAGAACATAGTGGCAGCGGTGTTAATATTTTCCAAGTTTAAAAGGACCACCCCAGTACCAACATTGCCTGATTTCAATTTGCTCAACTGGAAAAAAATTGACTTTACAAAGCAAAAGAGATTGGAAAAATGCTTCCAAAGTTTCGAGAGATTCCGACTCGCCTCAGCACTTTGTGAAGCAGATGAAGACGTACAAGTCAGCACACTGATCTGTTCTATGGGACCAGAGGCTGATGACATCCTATCATCTTTAAAGATTTCCAGTGGTGATAGTGTTAAGTGGCATCCAGTTAAAGAAGCACTATCAAAGTACGTTATACCAAAAAGGAACGTTATATTTGAGCTAGCAAAATTCAACCAAAGGAAGTAGGAGGAAGGTGAAACCACTGACAGTTTCATCACTGCCCTTCATGTCCTCACCAAATATTGCGACTATGGCGCCCTACACGATGACCTTTTCCGAAACAGGATAGTCGTTGGACTGAGGGATAGAAAACTATATATCAAAAAAGGTACAGCTTGATTCTAAACTCAGTCTGGAGTCAGCGATATTAATGGCCAGGCAGAACGAAACAATCAAGAAGAAACAGCCGATTGTGAGAGGCTCAACAACCCCGGAGGTACCCGCAACCAACATGGACGCAGTAAGATTCCAAAAGAAAAAAGCAAATCCCTGACAACCAGCCCGGACAGCAATAAAATCAACCTGACAAGCTGTGGCAGATGCGAAACGCGACAGTACACCCTCGAGACAAGTGTCCTGCCCGAGATGCTAAATGTCATAAATGCGGCAACAAAGGACATTTCATTAAGGTTTGTCGCAAAGCAAACATAGCAGAAGTGGACAGGAGCTCCGGCGAGAGAGGTGAATGGTTTCTTGGGACGTCGACACCAAAGAAGGAGAACCTTGGAGGACCAACCTTAAAATTCGAGATCAGACTGTGAAGTTCAAGATAGACACTGATGCAGACGTAACAGAGATACCCGAGTTCGTATACAAACAGTTAAGAGGAATTAAACTTTCACATGTGAATCGCTCATTGCATGGACAAGGAAACTCAAAATTAAATGTGTTGGGAAAGTTTATTTGTGAGCTTGAGTCTAAAGTTAAATTGTGTGTTTAGTGTGCGAGAAAGATATGTTGTGAGAGGGTTGAGCCAGGCATTACTAGGTAGACCGGATATCATAGCTCTAGACATCATTGAAAAGGTAAATATTGCGTCTGTCAAATCAAAAAATGTTCAAACACCAAAATCTGAAACATAATTCCATATAAACTTAAAAGAAAACTCTAAGCCATATGCATTGTCGACACCTCGCAAAGTGCCGTTTGCACAAAGAGACATAAGGTCAAAGAGGAGTTAGACTGAATGCAGAATTTAGGAGTTATCTCCAAGGTCGATGAGCCTACTGAATGGTGTGCTCCAATGGTCATAGCCCCAAGACCCAATATAAGAATATGCGTAGAACTTAAAAATCTAAATGAATCAGTCAAAAGAGGAAATCACCCCCTCCCCTCGGTTGAAGAGTCTTTGACCAAATTATCAGGGTCAAAAATATTCTCAAAATTGGATGCAAATTCAGGGTTTTGGCAAATCAACCTAGCAACTGAATCACGGCTGCTGACAACCTTTATTACTCCGTACGGGAGATTCTATTTTAACAGACTTCCATTTGAAATAAATTCAACCAGTGAGTTCTTTCAGAAACGAATGTTAGAAATGCTTTGTGAGGTTGAAGGTGTGTTATGTCACATGGATAACAATCTCATTTTTGCTGCAGCGCAAGGTCAGCATGACAAAATTCTCGAAAACGTTTTAAGCATTCTCAAGGACAATGGCTTTACTTTGAACAATAAGAAATGTAAATTTTCAAAACCATCAGTGATATTCCTAGGTCATGTCATTGACGAAAAGGGCATTATAGTAGAATCGCAAAAGGTCAAAGCCAAATTAAACATGAAAAAGCAAGAGAACGTATCTTACATACGTAGGTTCTTGGGTATAGTGAATCAACTCAACAGATTCTCACCAAAGCTGGCAGAAAGGTCACAGCCTCTTAGAGAGCTGCTCAAACTAAAGAATGCATGGATGTGGGGTCCAGCCCAAGAAAGGTCATTTGAGAGATTGAAGACAGAAATTTCTCAGTCTCCATGTCTAGCACATTATAACACAAAAGAAGACATAATGGTCTCAGCGGATACATCGTCATACGGTCTAGGTGCAATCCTAATGCAGAAACACGGGCAAACATGGAAACCTGTGGCCTATGCATCAAAGTCAATGTCAAAACAGAGCAAAGGTATGCCCAAATAGAGAAAGAAGCCTTAGCTATTACTTGGGCTTTTGAACGTCTCAATAATCTAACGTCAATCTAATAGGTCGAAAGTTCAAAATAGAAACGGACCACAAACCACTTGTACCACTTTTAAGTACTAAAGATTTGTCTGAATTACCCCCTAGAATCCAAAGATTCAGGATGCGACTTATGCGTTATACTTTCACCATCAGTCAAACCCCTGGTAAAGAGTTGATCACAGCTGATGCATAATCACGCGCACCTGTGGATCCGCCCGCCCCAGATGATGGCAAGGTGATTGCTTTTGTTGATGCCATAATGAGCAGTCTACCAACATCAACTAGCAAGTTAGATAAGATAAAATCACTTTATAAACAAAGACACATTGTGTGCCAGTGTCACACAATACTGTAAATCGGGATGGCCCGAGAAATCTGAAATCCCAACAGAGTTGAAAATGTTATATAGGAAGTCAGGGGAGACTTTACAGTACAAAATGGTTTGCTACTGAAAGAAACAAGGTTAGTTATCCCCAATGAACTTCAAGAGGAAATGCTAGGAAAACTACATCAAGGTCACCAAGGAATAGTGAAATGTAATGAGTTAGCCAAGACATCTGTTTGGTGGAATGGCTTGAGTACTCAATAAGAAAATTTAGTCAAATCTTGCCAAATGTGCATAGAGGGATCTCAAAGTGTAAGAGAGCCACTCATTCCAAGTAAATTCCCGGATCGACCATGGCAAAAAATAGCCACTGATCTGTTTGAACTGAATGGTCAAAAGTACTTGCTAGTTGTTGACTATTATTCAAGATTCACTGAGATTGAAAATTTCTCGGATAATGGGCCACAATATTAATCGCAAACATTTAAAGATTTTGCAGGAGAATTTGATTTCAAACATTCTTAACTATCCTCGAAGCAACGGTCTCGCAGAGAGATCAGTGCAAACCATTTAAACAAATGTTGAAAAAATCATTTGATCCATAACTATAAGCTTTGTTAATGTATTGCTCAACGCCGCTAAGCAATGGGTACAACCCTGCAGAACTATTAATGAATCGCAAAATAAAAGCAAATGTGCCCCTTAACCCAAAGCAGTTGAAACCGAAATTACCAAACATGAAATTAATTCAAAAGCGTGAATTAACCCCCTTCCCCGCAGTCACGCATTTCAACGCATATACCATTTCCTATTTCTAACGCAAAATCCCGCATATACCGTTTCCCCGCAATCACGCATTTTCACGCACTTTAACAAGTTCACTTATTCTTCAAATTATTGCCAAATTCCTTCTATTTTACACTTGCTTTAATCTCATGAAATAAGTAAAGTTATTTTCTTATTGAAATACCGGGGTATTACGTCATCCCAGTCAGCATTCATATATTGGCCCAACGTTGGTAGAGTAACGGTCTGTTGGGTCAAGGTTGGTGTTGGTATAACATGATTGGGCCAACATTGGGCCAATGTTAGACATTATGCTCTTAGTGGCAATATCAGCATATGTCAGTTATTCGTTGTTGGGCCAATGTTGGCCCAATGTATCTTAATCTCACATAAGTTGTCGTGATAACATACGTTGGTTTTACATTGTTGGGCCAACATTGGCCCAATGTACGTAATTTTCACAGAAATTACTATCTTAAACATTGGTTCTGCATTGTTGGACTTACGTTGGCCCAATATTGAATACTGAACATAATGAACATATGCAGGTGTACAACGATTGGGCCAGCGTTGGCAAGACAGCGTTGGCACAATGTTTCAAACTTAGCATAAAATGGTTGGTCTCGTGTAGTTGGACCATTATTGGCCCAATGCAAATTTTTGTCAAAGATATACTGCAACAGCTGGGAGGATAATTTT